TAATAGGAGTGTTGTCAGCGGGGCTAAATGAGGGAAAGGAGAACGCCAAGCCAACTTTAACCCATCCATTGTGTTCGCTGGTGTTAGCATCCATTGCCAGCTTAGAAAGATTGCACCATCGTTTTTTGCCAGGGCATGTATACCGCTTGCGAGGGTCGGTGGCCTGACGCCTGGCCGACCACTATGCGGGATGTCATTCCTAGCTGTCTTGGTCCACTTTTTACGGACCCTTGGCAATAGCAAGAATGGGCCCGTCTCTCAGCCATTTCTTTTACCACAACAAAGATGCTGCGTTTTAAAATCACCGTGGCGTCCTAATAAGTACTGTTGGGAAAGTTGTTAGTTGAAGTGATAAATCGTTCCTCCTACGGCCAACAAACTACTGTGCAACCCTACTAAGCCGCTAACAAATGCTATCCTGAACAAGCGATGAGAGTGGCGTTGATAACGCTGAACAGGTGAGCACGACCGAACAGAAGAAGAGGAGGAGTAGGTTGACTGAAAACTCACGAGATCATAGGGCCAGGCTGCATGCCGTCGAAGCGAGGCCTCCAGCAGCGGAGGCGCGAGGGACAGAGCAACCCGATAGCCCTCCCAGAGTTCACAGGCGAAGGCCGGAGACAGGGGGTAGAGCATGACGAGCAGGTCAGCAAGAGCACGCAGGTAGAGCGGACTTGTGGGGGCACCGGTCTTTGACGAAGAGGACACCTTCTGCAAAACAAATGAGGTTTGTGGCTGTACACTTAAAGCAACAACTTGTCTGTGAAGTGGGGGATAATTTAACCATATGTCGGATTCAGAAGACGTAGGACTCCTTAAGTTGCCTAATTTGAATGACTGTGTAGACCAGAGGTGGTATGAATTCCGAATGATACTGTGAAAAAGGAAGGAGTACACCTCAGAAAAACCAACTTGTACTTGTGCAAATTAGCTGTCAGTCGCCGAGACTCCCTGTCCCTCGTCTTCAGGCACGCAATTGAGTGCGACCACAGGTTTAACTGGGATGACACTGATCTCGTCGCCATGGCTAAAACTGTTAGGAGTCGCCCTAAGCGCGAGCGCACGCAGTACTGAAGAGCTGTTCCCAAAGCATTCGACTGGTCCTCCCTCACACACAGTGCAAGTGATGCCACGCAGCAGTGGCCAGGCGGACTAACGACCAGCTGGATGAGTCACGAAGCCAATGCAGTCGCTCCTCACATGAGGCTATAATCTGATTGGTCCAGTCTTGTACGCATTGCTTGCTATAAGTAAGCTGTACAAGATATGCATAAAGACTTCTTGTTTTGCGTCCTTCTTACTGTGTTCTTCTTTGGAGACTCACACAAGGCGTAATTTGACGGTGACATGGTTGGTTGGTTGGTAGTCCATGCTGGATCAGGGGTTCCCGCCGGAGTCCAAATTGGGTGCAGTTGGGAGACGGAG